GGTCGATGTCAGCAAAGCTCTTGCGTGCTATCACTTCTGGTTGAATCTAGTGGACACTCAGATCTGGAAGATGTTGCGAAGGTGGTCAAGTAGTCCTACTTTCGTCGTTGTATCATGAATAGTACGCACTGAACACGAAATCCGAATCACAGATGTCGCGCAAGCACTGGATAACACCGGCATTGCACGCAATATCCCATGTAACTGAGACGCGAGGAGAAGGATCAAGGAGTAATAGTTCTTTTATGTGCAAAAAAGCTCATTAGTCATCCGGGCCTTGGTCATTCGCGTTCTAGTATTTCTGCCGTTATTCAGTTTATCTGGGCCCTCACGGTTTATGATTGTCTGATACAACTGACCTATGGTAAGTAGTCCAGAAGTGATAGCACGCAAGAGCTTTGCTGACATCGACCGTGAAGCTTGATTGATCACGGTTGTTCTAAGACTGTAAAGTGTCACTCCAGGGTGTGCGTCATCTCGCAGGCTGGATCACCACAACCTCACTTGGGATCTGCCACTAAACGCAATGAAGGGTCACTTGCTCTCTCTAAAACAACTGAAATCTGTAGGAGATTGGGCCAATTCGAAGTATGTACTGTTACCAGTGCCAGGGATCTAGGAGTCATAGCGACTGCAGATTACAGTTGAAGTGTGAAGCTGCAGCACGCATGGCAAGACGAAGCTGCTTCGACTAAGGTCGTTGTTTCGTATAAGAGAGCAGCTGTGTTAATAGCTACTTACAAAGCCATTGTAAAGCCTCACATAGAATACTGTGTTCAGGATTGGTCACTCTTCTACAAAAAGGACTCATCTAGTCTGCAGAAGGCCCAGAGACTAACAACACGAATGGATGGGGGCACGCGAGGTAAATCACACAGGGAGTGGTTTTGCGCGCTCGATGTTTTTCACTAGAAAAGAGGCTTCATGGAGAACTCATTGAAGTATTTTAGATTAGGAAAACGTTACTGTGGTAGGATCTGGAATCCCTTTTGTTTGAGGATTCCCATCAAATAACGTGTGATTATGAAACGCATCAACAGCGTTCTAGACTGAATCTACGAGCATACTTCTTTAGCAATAGGGTAGTGGATAACTGGAACAAAATACCGACTGAATTGATAAACCAGCCAAATGTCCCGGCCTCTAAAAGAGTAGTGCACGCCTGATGGTTGGAGGCTTTCTCTGACATAGAACGTTAGGGGCATTAATTTCTTTTGTGTAATATGGAACGCTTTCACAATAAAAGTCTCTAATTGACATGGCGAGAAGCAAAATTTCATTTTTATCTTTATGCAAATAGAAAGAGGAACTGATCGACAGCAAAGCTTGAAACACCCTTGAGAGCACATCACTGAAGGAATGCTGGACCCCTGGCCCGTAGCCACTATCAGTCCTTTGCACCCTGACCTGACCTGAACAGAATTGTTGCGCTGCACCGAAGTGTACCGTTTTCATCTAAGTGATTTTAGATGTGTTATAGATTACCCATTTATCTCGTGGAATACCCGACAATATGTGTTCCAGTGTAGAAAAAATGGCTGTGTCATCTGCCAACGTATTATTGGTCCCCGTAACAAGAGTGTTCAACGTGACGGCAGTAATGGCTGGGCACACATTGATTGTGCCAACATCAACCAAGAGGAGTACAAGTTTCTAAACTCATGTAAGTCCACATTTGTAAAAATTGTGTGCTCCAAGTGTTCTGTGAACCTACGTCGGAACGCCCGTACCCCGAAGACGAACGAATCTGTCGGAAATGGATGTAATCATGATTCATCAACGGCTCAGTAATCCCCATTCACCACCGGCAATAACATCAACGCCGTCAACCAAAAATGGTAGAAGGCGAAGAGATACCCCCAAGGAGACAACTTTCTGGACACGGGGTTGAAGTGTGAGGATCACAAATACTCAATCAACCGTACGCAGTGTTGGAAGCCAATCCCATCCGCCGACAACACAACGAACTGGACGCTCGATTGGCAAGAGCCATATTCGTCCTGTGCAACTGAACTGAACTGAACTGAAGATCGTCCGACTGCTCCAACGATGTCTCTTAATCCTCACTGTGGCAAACCCAAGACAACGAAGGCGGCTTCACTTTCATTGACGGTTCAGGTTACACAAAAGGAAGCCCCGAAAAGCGTCAAACCCAGATCCGGTATATCACGAAGCATTCAGCGGATTGCGAACGCCAACCTAGTCGGCGAGGACGGTGCATGGACTATACCCCGGGCTCGCAATCCCCCGCCAACGTGCAAACAATGTCTCATGGTTGTGAACCTGCCGGAGTCGAAGGAATTCGATTCTCAAACAAGGCTCAACCACAAAATCAACCTGCTGCGCAAGACTTTGAGGCGGCTATTCATCCCGGGAGAAGAAACCTCGCCAAAAAACATCTGTGTAAAGTCAGTGTTCTACCTTGGGAAGCTCGCAAATGGCTCTTCTGGCTCTACTCGTCCTCTCAAAGTGGTTCTAGGATCAGAAGGTGAGGCAGCCTCCCTGTTTCAACGGGCACATAGGCTCAAGGGGGAACGGATACGCATCCTCCGAGATCTAGACCGTGTGCAGAGGGAACAACTAAGAAAGGCACTCTCCAAACTACACGAGCGCAGCTCAAATGGGGAAGTCAATCTAGTAATTCGGGCTTCTCGTGTGCAGAAGAGGCGCCCTTACTTCCGGGGAAGACCCCTGTTGATCGCGTATCCAACAACAACTCCGGAGTATGCCATTCGGCGAGGAGAGGAGGTCTGCAGTAGACCGAAGCGGACCCGATATAATGCTAACGAGTATCAGGTGCCTCTTGAGCAAGAGGGATGAGTTGGTAATTTGGGTGCAGAATCATAGTCCAACTGTGGTGACGCTCACTGAAACCTGGTTGAACGCCAACATAATGGACTCTGAAGTCGCTTTCCCCGGGTATATCATGTTTCGAGACGACAGATACTGTGGACGGATTGGTGGTGTAGCACTGTTCGTCCGATTTGGCGTCCCTGCGGCGCAACTGGAAACATATGCGAACCCACAAGGTCTCGGAGAAGCGGTCTGGTGTCGTGCCAAGCTAACATCAGGACGATACGTGAACATAGGGTTATTATATCGAACCCCAGCGGCAGCCATCCTCGAACTCCTGCCAAACCTGCGTAGATGAGCAGGCGACAGTCGATGCCTTATTCTCGGGGACTTCAACGCTCCTAACGTGTACTGGGTCGCAAGACTGCCAGACCCGGCGCGGATCACTTCTCTTGTGAATTGCTGTGAATCTTGCAGGAACTTTCCTTTTCTCAGCATGTGCAGTCGCCGACGCGGCAGCAGGGCGGGCGGGGATCAATTCTAAACCTGGTGATATCACCGAGGAGTTCCGATGTAGAACAGATTGAATACTACCCTCCCTTAGGGTGTAGTAACCATATAGTATTGGCTATTCGTTGGCGGAATGACACACACGCACCCACGGGATTACATAGAGGTTGAAATGTATGGCGCACACAGTTCGACGCGGCACGGGCGGCAGCCATGGGTGTGCCATGGCTCCCACCGATCCATTGTGAGGTGAATGACGAATAGTTGGTATGGGAACGTATTCGGGATGGTATCCTTCTCCTCACTGACACGTTTCTCCCAGCAACTCGCAGTAGACCGCGAATACTTAGGCCACCATGGTTTGATCCTGAACTGCGACGATTATTTCGGCGCCGAAATCGCGCCTGGCAGGCTTTTCGGGCCTCTGGTGCAAGTTACGACCTCTATCAGAGAAAACGGAACGAGTGCACGGAGTTGAAACGATCCAAGCGGAGGGCCTTCGAAGAGAAGCTGGCAGTTGACTCAGTGAGGGCTCCTAATTGACTCTTTGCTTAACTTAAGCGGCGCACGAGAGCTAGAGCTAGTATTCCAGCGTTGATCTATGGAGTTGACACGGTTGACACCAACGAAGACAAAGCAGAATGACTGGTACCGCTCAGTGTACATGATAGATGCTGGCTCCCCACCAACAGCAGCCAGAACCACATCGATGTTTACCTTCGAAGAGTTTTTAGAAGAGGTAACAAGAGTGCTCCAGTCCATCAAGATGAGTCGGTCTCTAGGCCCGGATGGTATTCATCCCTTGATGTTCAAGGAGCCGGCGGTTCAGCTCTCTCCTTCAATTACTTGGCTTTTCCACCTGTCAATGCCCTCGGGAAGACTGCCCCAAGAGTGGAAGAAAGCGGTTTTGGTTCCGATTTACAAGGGCGGAACGAAAGCTGGACCAGGCAACCACCGCCCCGTGAGCCTCACATCGGTTGTCGGCAAGATGATGGAATGGTTGGTGGTTTCACGACTTACGGATCACCTTGAGCAACATCAGTGTTTGTGTATAGAAAAACATGGTTTCCGGCAGAAACGTTCTTACTTGGCCAATTTGCTGATCGCTCGGGAACGTTGGTCTAGAGACAAGGACGAGGAATATGGTACGGACGTTATCTTCGTTGACTTCAGCAAGGCTTTCAACAAAGTATCTCACGACAAACTGCTCACTGAACTCAGGGCTCTGGGTGTCACAGGGTCCGCACTTCGCTGGCTGGAGGCTTTTCTGGAGGGGAGATCATTCTCAGTGAGAGTTTCAAAGGCGCCATCTGCGTGGTACACAGTTACCAGTCACCTGTAAACTGCGCTACACCAGGCGGTTCGAAATTTGTCGTGGTTGGTAAGTTTGTCTTTGTTGTGTTCGAATTAGTGTTCATATTAGTTCTTCTAGCATATGTACAGTTATATTAAAATGGTTTCTTAGGATTTCATTCTGCTATATATTTAATTACCGTAGGATTACTAGATTGCGTAGTTTTCTCGCAACGTAGCTATTCTCACCTCATAGCGTTAGCCAAATGGTTGTTAACAACATCAAAATAAGGAGGGTAAACACATGTATTCCTAGACCGAAACAGTTTCCATGCGGGATCCAAGGTTGCGATCAGGAGGTGCTCGACGGTATTTGCTGCGAGTTTGCAGCAGTTGGTACCACCAGAAGTGTAGTGCCCTACCTAAAAGGGCGCACGGGCTCTATAATGAGCATAAATTCCTGAAGTGGATATTTTCTGCCTGTGTTACGACGTGTAGAGAGAACACATTATTGAAGGGGACCCAGCGGATAGCTTCTGAGTCGTTAAAGTCAGCTGCGAGAAATGCTACAGTGGTACGACGCAGGGATTACACTGCAGCTGATAAAGAGGTGTCGCATAGTAGAGAAGCTTCAAATAAGCTTCAGAAGGATATTGAATTCTTAGTAGCTCGAGCAAAGAAGCAGGAAGAGAAGCTGGTGGAGCTACAGCAAGGGTTGAGCCAGTTAACCAAGAATATGCTAAGACTCGAGGCCAGCAGTGAAATTGCCCTCGGCAGACACAGGAATGTCGTCGTAAAAGGCATAGCAGAACCCTGCTGCGTAGTTGGACGCCAGAGGGAATGAGACCTAAGGCATAGCGTCATTAATCTCTTCAGAATGGCAGGCGTACCAGGGCACGTTCTCTCGAAGAGAGTGTTCAGGTTAGGTAGGTGGACCGGTAAGCCAGGTGGTACCCAAGAGGCTGCCAGGCAGGTTCTAGTGGAGTTCGGGCACCCAAGGTATAGGGACGAGTTCGTGGCAGCTGCTGGAGCAGTGAAAACGGCAACGGCAGAGAGAATCTCGGTAGAGCCTAATCTCCTAGCCACAGGGCAGAGAGAACGTCTAAATATCAGTAGCGTGACACAGTTGAGATCGGAACAAACCGTTGGATCACCAAGTGTCAGTGTCAATCGAATAGACTCTGCACTCATGCCACCCAGAGCTGGTAGCCTTGGCGAGACATATGCAAGTGTAGCCAGACGCAGTCTGGCAGAAACAGTTAGCCCCGCACTGAGGAGAACCACATCAACCCGTGTTGAGGGCAAATGTAACAAAAAACGGAGAGGGAACTCGGGTGTAACACCTGAGTTCAAGGTCGGCCAGGTTAAAGAGACAGAGAGGCCAAAAACGAACGAGGGACTGCAACTGGTGTACACCAATGCATGCAGCATTGGGAACAAATGGGGAGAACTTAGGGTTGAGTCCAGAGGCTTCGACTGTATAACTGTGACGAAAACCTGGCCGCAACAGGTACAAAGGTAAAAACGCTGGCACCGCCAGGACACTGCATCTACATGGCAGATCGAAGTGGCGGGCGGATTGGCGGAGGAGTAATGGTGCTGGTAGACAACGATCATAAGCAATTGACTGGTGGGCAATTAGTGACGCCGAATATTCAAGCCACTTTGTGTTGCATCAAAGCACCAGGAAGGGATACCTGGGTAGCATGTGTATACAGAAGCCCAGGATCAAGTCAGGACGAAGATCGCCAGCTGCTGTCATTCCTAAAGACTGTAGCGAAGAAGAACGGAACTGTAGTAATTGTTGGAGACTTCAGCGCTCCTGGGGCAATGTGGAAGGAACTGATTGCTCCACCCAACACATTTGGGAACGATATAATGAAGTTTGTACTGGACTTTGCTCTTGTTCAGCATGCCACAAGTCCAAAAAGTGGGCGGGTAGGGAATAACCCTGGGTTTCTGGACTTGGTGATCACGGAACATTCCAGCGAGGTCGGCTACCTGAGAATCACAGCACCACTTGGGCGGAGTGACTATGGAGTGCTGCGTTTCACCATTCCAGGTGTGGTAGATGTACCCTCACCGAAGCTGTCAAGGGCTTATAGTAAAATCGATAAACCGCGTATGCTCGAGGCGGCTGAAAGATTGGAATGGAACGTGCCGTGTGGGAGCGTTGAGAAGGGTTGGCAGCTTTCAAGGAGAACCTCGGGCGGCTCACTGCTCACTGCGCCACATAAAGCTGTTAGGAAAAAGGAAAGGCCTGCATGGCGGACGAGCCGTGCCACCAAGGCACAGCAAATGAAAAACCAAGCGCGGAGGCGATTTAAAAGAAAAGGGGCCATAGGTGCCTGGTCCAATACAAGGGGAAAAGTGAAAGAGCTAAAGGAGTTCAGATGGGTTGCCGCCTTCAGTTTGAACGAAGACTGGCAAACAGAGCACAGGGCTAGCCGAAGGCATACTATAGCTATGTCTAGTCCAATGTAGCTACCAGAGTAGCGCTAGGATGCATAAGGAACGCTCGAGGCCAGCACGCCTTGACCAACGACGAGAAAGCCGAGGAACTGCGTAGCATTTTTGAACGTTTTTATGTGCGAGAACCCGGTAAACCGCCCAGTAGGATGATGATGAACTCAGTCCCCGTAATGAATGACTTCCATGTAACACCCGATGAAATAAGGGATATAGTGCAAAGCCTAAATGTGCTTAAGGCCGCAGGGCCAGATGAAATTCATCCCGCCGTCCTTAAACCCATTGCGGCAATCGTGGCGGAGCCCTCGCGGAGCTGTTCAATTGGTCACTCTGTACTACGCAGCTACCCAGAGAGTGGATGACGGCAATAGTTGTCCCCATTCACAAAGGGGGCAATAGGGAACAGCCGGCAACTTACCGACCAGTGAGCCTACTGTCGGTTGTATTAAAGGTATTCGAAAGGGTTAATAGGAACAAGCTGACCTTACGAGAAATAGATTAGTAGCCGATAAGCAGCACGGCTTCTTTGAAAGTAAATCCTACTTGACCAACCTGCTGCCGTACCTGGATGAGGTCACGAGCCGACTTGATGGGGGAGAGCGAGTCGAGGTATACTACCTGGATTTCAGGAAAGCTTTTGACTCGGTAAACCATCGCTTCCTGCTACACGAGTTGTCTCAGGGTGTCTCAGGGTTGCTCCTGGGGTAGTAGATTGGTTAGAAGCCTACCTGCACAACAGGACTTTTCGCGTGAGGGTAGACGACGGTATATCAGGGTCTGCCGAAGCTTGCAGCGGGGTCCCCCAAGGTTCGGTGCTTGGTCCCATGCTGTTCCTCGTATACATCAACGATATGATCCGTGGTCTGCACTCGCCGCTCTACTTGTTTGCCGACGACGTCAAAATCGTAGGCTGGCCAGATATGCCACAATTGCAAGAGGATCTGAACAAGATCCAGGAGTGGACAATTTAATGAGAACTCCCGCTGAACCTAAACAAGTGCCAACAGTTGATGTCAGTCGGTACAAATAGCGATGGGCGAAGTGCAACCACGGAAAGCCATCTACCTCTAACGAGGAGTGAGGACATTAGGGACTTGACTATCGTCATAGACCAGACCTTCACACCAACGCTTTGGTGTCTGGTAGCTGCGGCCAAAGGTAATAGAGCACCTCATCAAATCCTGAAGGCTCTCGAGAGGAAAAGGTGATGGCTCCACTGTATAAGGCCCTGGTGAGGCCAAATCTAGAGTACTGCGTTCAGGCCTGGGCGCCTTATTCGGTGAAAGACGTCAAGCTCCTGGGGGTGGAACAAGGAAGGTTCACGAGGGTCATAGAAGGCATGAGTGGCGTTGCATACAGCGAGAGGCTCAGGAGGTTAAACCTGTTCTCCTTTAAGAGAAGGAGAATGCGAGGGGGCCTCATAGAGGCCTTCAAGCAGCTGACCGGCGCCCCGGTAACGGAAACACCGTTGCTGCACCTATGCCACAACACCAACTCTAGGGGCAACGAATGCAATTTGGAAAAGCCCAGGGCAACAAGGAGTATTAGAGCCCAGTTCTTTTCGCATCTAGTGATTAATGCGTGGAACCGGTTACCACAGTAAGTGGTTGCTGCTCGTAGCCTTGGGGCTTTTAAGCACTATCCGGGCGAGGCATGGTCCGGTATATTTCCCGACGATGGATATTATAATAATAATAATGCAGAAAAGAAGACAAATCCGGAACCGGGAATATTGGGCGCGAGCGTCGAACCCGAGTACTACTTCAAGACTTCATATTTCTCGGATCGCAACGAGAGACATGCATGTTATGCACGATCTCGGTAGGCAAGATACAATAACAATGGCTTCATATAATACACAACAAGATCGGGGAACATGGTCATGATGTTTGTGAAAACGAAGTATAATGAACACTTGTTGAATGGAATGTATTGTTGTTTTAATGCTCCGTTTCACACTGTAGCGCAATTCACTTTCAACTTCAAGGTCATCAATAAACTTGGAGTGATACATATCCGTAGAATGACAACATAAGCGCACATATGCATATGGATGAATAAAGATGAAAAATATGAAAATTTATCGGTATATTGCAATAAATTGGGGAGAAAAACGCTAATGATCGGGTAGAAATGATTGTATATCAAGTGATACACCCAAGTCTCATAGGGGTAAAAAAAACTATGGTAACCGTCAACTAGGGAGACATACTCACTCGTTTGCATGTAAAAATATTGCATAGTTTAGGAAAATAATTGTTTTATTGGCATTTTTTCGGGCTTAGCTCACTAACGGCTGCGGAAAAAATTCCATCGAACGCACCAGGCATCACATAAGACTCAGAATCAAGAGACCGAATGCTTCTTTGCTTAATTCTGGTTTAAAGAGGATGATCGAGTAAGGGTTATCTGAGGGGCATATTGGGTTCTGCTATCGCAAACAATCAAATGGAGTAGGCAGACAAACTATAGAGTTTTCATTCAAAATGGCTGGAATTCTAGCCATAATCATTTTATAACTAGGGGAATGAAAGATGAAAATTAGGACAGAAATCAACGTTAAACCCGATCGCCCTACGGTTGGATAAGCTTAGGTAACGCTTATTATCTAGGGGGCTAAAAGCCCGATGGTATTGCGTACAGGGTTAGAATGGTGGTTTACCATTGGTGTTTCCCTTTCTTGTCGTAGTCGAGGGCAGCAATAAAATTTGTAGCTGTAACCCCTTGTGGGCTATAAAAATGGTTCACTCCTTGTGATCCTCTCAATTTGGCTCCGATTCCAGAACTTTGACTCCTTGGGGTTTGCAGAAAGGGAGGAAAGCAAACAAGGATATCTCCTCATCTCATTGGTTAAAGACCTCAAGTATCCATGGGTTCGTATACACAGATCACATGTGACAGGACAGCCAGTTTGAGAATAATTCCAACACTCAAACTTGGGTTTACTCCATTTCACAAAATGTCGTTTAAAGTGGAATTTGTTCTTGATTTTCTCACTATAACTGCTAACTTCTGGGAACGTTGCTGAACAACATGCGTCCAGGGCCACCTTGAAGGCGTTAACGTTGGCGCAGTAAACCACTTCTGCGAGTAACCTGTTCCACATACGTGTGATCCTGTGTGCGAAGAAGTTGGTCCGTAGTTCCAAACTGGCGCGGTTTTGTTGAAGTTTATAGCCATCACTACTCGTATTTTGAGCACGGAAACTCGTAAACAACTCATCTAGGTTGAGTCCCGATAGACCTCATACGATTTTTAAAGTCTCTATCAAATCTCCCTTCACTCGTCTACGCTCCAGCGAAAAGAGAATAAGATCTCTTAACCGCTCCTCGTAGCTTTTCTCTTTTTGCCTAATCACCATTCCGGTAGCTAGGCGTTGCACTCTTTTTAAACATGTTACATCCCTCTTGTAACACGGTGCTCATGCCTGCACACAAAACTCCATGATTGGGCGCAAAATGGATTTATAGAGTGGGACGAAAACCTCAAGCCTGCTGCATGTCACTGGCACAGCCTGAACAGTTGCCCACTAGCCTGATTGGCAGCCTTGAAGCCGTGAGTTGAGGGTTTAAAATCTTGGATCATAAGAACCCCTAGATCCTTTATCTACGGGACCTGCGGCATGGAATGGCTCCATTCAACGGGTATATCCCAGTACTCGTTGCTTATATTCACAGTAGGTCACACTGAACTGATTATCGATGGACTACCTGTAGGTCCCTTTACAGGTTTAACCCTGTCGTTTTAAACTCATCAAAAAACATGAAACAGATTTGAAAGATCCTGTGCCAG